GCAAAGCCCCCGTGCCTCCCTCTCCCCATCCTCCCCCGCATGTCATCTTTCGTTATTCAGTAATGCTATCCCCCCTGTTTTCCCCCTTTCCTTGCATTTCTTTTCCTTTCAGCGGAAATTGTAATCAGTGGAAGATAAATACAGGGAAGGTGGCTGGGGGAAGGCTCAGGAGTCCCTCTGACCTCAGGGTTGGCCAACCAAACTGGTCCCTTCAGCCCAAGTGAACCCCCAAATTATACCTGACAAAGGCAAGGGTTTGGCTTTCTCCATAATCTCCCCAAGCACTGCTGTGGGACAGAACAATGATGGTGGGAAGCTGGTTTTAACTTTGTGCAATTACAAACTCTTATTCCTGGAAGCCCATCAGGCTGGGGAACTGATTTCCAATTCCTCCATCAAGGTGTCAGCAGGTCTGGTTAAATCCAAGTCCTGCTGATGGCAGTGAGAGGACAGGGGGTCTTCAGGGGACCCAACTCACCCCTTTTCCCATTCCTTTTCTGATGCCACAGAGAATTTAGCCGTGCTCATTTCTGGGAAGCTGATTTGGGGTTATTAAAGCATCTCTGATAGAGAAAATCCAGCCTGACTGTACATTGTAAACCTGTCAGGCACTCACCACCAGCAATTGGGGTGGCATCTGTCTGGTTCTACAAGCCTGCAATGCCTGAGCTAATGAGGAAAAGATGTTGATGCATTACCAAGGCTCATCCCTAAGCAGAGCAGAGGATCCAGGCAGGCACTCCATGTGTGGAGCTGCCTCCCTGCCATAGAGAGATGCCCTGGAAAAGGTGTGGAAGGTCCCTCCATTAAAAGCAGCAATAGGGGCTGAACAAAATGCCCAGAACCAGCATGGCTCAGGGTCTGCAAGTCTCCAAAAACCCAGGAACCACTGGGGCTCAGACACATCCTGATCCAGCTCCAGTCTTAAACCTCGATCCCAGCATCACTGCCAGCCCCATATGGGAAGCACTCAGCACCACTTGTCTCCTGTGGCTGTTTAGCTCTTCCTTCTGTGGGTTTGAGGAGATAAAGACCAGTCAGAAATGTGGCCAGATCCTACAGAACTGGATTGAGAGTTAATTTTAAAAAACTTTCCTCCTTCTCCTTTCCTTCAGCCAAATTAGAGTGGGCAAGGGAAATCATCACTATGGAAAAGTTCTATGGCCAGATTTAAATTGAGGACGAAGCCAAAGGGGGTTTATAAATTTTATTTATACACTTCCCAGGGTGCTGTTGCCAGTTTGGTTGGGAGCAGTGGGTGCCCTTGTGACTAGACCTTTTGAACCAAACCCTGATCGACCATTTCCCCAGAAGCCCTGTGGCATGGTCATAAACCCACAAGGAAACCTCTCACCCTGTAACATCCTGTAGCTCTTTCCCAGCCTGATGGTTCCCATTTCAGTCCCAAGCTCTCAGAAAACTCCGGGACAACCATGGCTGGACTTACGTATTTTAATCCAGCGGCTCGTTAGCTCGCTGAGGGAAAACAGGACCAAAAAAGGAGTTTAACTAAAAGGGGCAACTGGAAAGCAAAAGACTGGCAGAACATTTGAAGCTGCAGGAGGAAGTGCTGGAGGGAATTCTGAGAATTTTATTTGTGAGCCTTTAGACACGATTGGTAGTGAAGGGCAGCCCATGGTTGCCTGGCTGCGGAAAGGGTCTCAAACCCACACATATTTCAGGCACTGTCCATCGTGTCTTCACCCAACCAAGAAGGCCATGTCCAAAATACAAGATCAAAGATTGCTGATGGTCAACCAAGGCCGAGTTGCACCTACAGCACCATTAAAGACCCAGAGAAATGCCAGTGGCTGCAGAGAGGCCTTGGGAGAATGGTGTAGTTGGGCACATAGGAGTCGTAGGGACTTGATGAAAAACTTACTGTTGGACATTTCATGGCTTGAATTATTCAGAGTTAAGGTGCAAGAAGGTTTGCCTGGCCTTAAAGATCTTGGAAGTTTCCTCTTGCTCAACAGCTTGATGGTATCTTGAAACAGCAGAGTTAATATCCCTTCCAGTAGATTTTGTTTGTTGCTCAAGCATTATCTGAAAATGCTGGACTTATTAAATAAGTATCACGATTAATATTATTAGCAGGGTTTTAATTTGTGAGCATACTCAGGGAGTGATGAGTTCTGCCACCCTGCCCTCTGCAACGACATAGAGCAGAAAGCCCCAACATACCCTTGCCATGAATCAGAATGTCATAAAATTATTAACATTTCAAATAATTCCAGAATGCTTTCCCACCAGTAGGTACAGATTGGATCCAGATGCTTTATTAACAGAAAGAATCATTAACCAGTACCTCCACAAGGGAGAACGACAGCGCGTCGTGCTCCCCACAAAGCCTTTGCTGGGTGTCTCAGAAAAAGGCTTCATAAAATCGCCCAAACCTTATGATATTAGTGACAAAGAGGAGATTAATCTCAGCCTGGCTGACAGCCCAAGATCAATACTGAGAAACCAGACTACACCCTCAGCTTCATGTTTCCATGAGCCAGCAAAGCCAGAAATAAACACTGCGGAGGCTGAGCTCTGCGAGATGCGGTGCTGCTCGTTCTGAGCTCTGAAGATCAGGGTTGGAAGAGCAGATGCTTGGCTGCAGTCCTGTGTCACCTTGGGGACATGCCACAGCTGGGGCCTCAGGGGGTGCTGGAGGTGGGAGCTGAGACCCACATCTTGGAGGTGTTTTGGTGCTGAATTTTCATCACCATTCATGAAAGCTTGACTTAAAGTCTTAGCAAGAGCTCCAGTTTGGATCGAGTGCAGCCCCAGAATACACTGAGACTGGTATTCAAAATCAGGTCAGCATGGTTTTAGCCAGATGTCAAACCACCACAGGCCTTGGTAAATTTTGGGGTTAACCCTGAGCTCCAGCAGGTCCCAAAATGGGTTTTGATTCTCATGGACATCACAGGGTTGCACATATGCAGCTCCCCACAGAGTGCCAGGTGCCTGGAGGGAGTGTGGCTGGCACAGAGCAGGACACTGCAGACCCCCAGGAGGGCTCGAGCTCGGCTGGGCCATGGGGTCTCACACGGGTCTGGCTCTCATGTGGCTTCTGTTCCATCCCCACAGGCGAGAGCCTGAGCCCAAGCTGTGGGGCAGCCAAGAGGAAGAAGAAGCAGAGGAGGAACCGCACCACCTTCAACAGCAGCCAGCTGCAGGCTCTGGAGAGGGTCTTTGAGAGGACGCACTACCCCGACGCCTTTGTGCGGGAGGAGCTGGCGAGAAGGGTCAACCTCAGCGAGGCCAGAGTCCAGGTGAGCACAGGTTTGTGTGGGAGAAAACAACACCCTCTGCCTCACCCCAGGCAGGAGCAGGGACTGTCCCCTCCCTTCTTTCATCCTGCACATCACTGTGACCCATAGGACAGATGTTTGGGACATCCCTGCGTGCACCGTGTCCCCACTGAGCACCTTTCCCCTGCCACAGGTGTGGTTTCAGAACCGGAGGGCCAAGTTCCGCCGCAACGAGAGGGCGATGCTGGCCAACAGATCGGCATCGCTGCTCAAATCCTACAGCCAAGAAGCAGCCATTGAGCAGCCCATGGCACCACGACCCACTGCACTGAGCCCTGAGTATCTCTCTTGGACCAGCACCTCCCCGTACAGGTAGGTGGAGGCTCTGGAGGAGCAGGGGAGGAGGTGGCCATGGGGCAGGGCTGCCTAGAGACCGCTCCACTGCCGCAGGAATGCAGCTCTGTGCCACTGCTGGGGATTGGGGGTTTTATGAGGCTGAAAGGAGCTTGTCTGACTTTTCTTTGGGAACCATTTCAACTCTGTCTGAGCATCCACTGCCCAACGCTGAGCAGGCCTCCCTGTCTCCTTGCATTTCGGGGCTGGAGCAGGCACCCTGGTCCTCGCAAGGGATTTGCTTGGCCTCGTGCTGACCCTTCCCACATCTCGGCACAGGAGGTGACATGGGTTCCTTCTGGTTCCCAGCTGTTCACGTTCAGCCATCACATCCAAAAGCAAAAGCAGGGCCTCCTGGTGCATAGTTTGAGGGGGTTCCCACATCCATCCAAGCCCATAAAAATGCTGAAGCCTTGGCTGTTCTTGTGAGAGATCTCCAACAGGGAACAGCCAGCCTGGCCTGGGAAGCCAGCAGGACCACAAAGGGCATGGGGTCTTCTCCATGGGCCACTGCCTCATTCCTCCCTGCTCCCTCCCTGCAGCACTGTGCCCTCCTACAGCTCCAGCGGGACCGCAACGCCCACCCAAGGGGTGAACATGGCCAACAGCATCGCCAGCCTGCGCCTCAAAGCCAAAGAGTTCAGCCTCCATCAGAACCAGGTGCCGACCGTGAACTGAGCAGGGCAAAGCCCATCCCATGGCCTCCTCCAGGACACAGCGTGGAGCTCCTGTGCCGGTCCAGGACAAATCCGCTGCCTGCCCAACACACATGCCACTCATCCAATGTCTCAGCATCTTCTCTCCTCTTCCCTTCCCTTCTGAAGGTAGAGTCAGTCCCAGGCCGAAGTGGCACATAATTATAGCCACATATGGAGCGAACTTGGTTAGAAACTTGCTTTTCCGCACACCCTTCTAATAACGGCTATATATACACACATACCCCCCACATGCTCTTTGAGGACAAACAGACTTGCCAAGGGAACAAGAATTTGCTTCCAAACATGGAAGGATCTTGGACTATTGGATTTGACCAATTTGGGTATCTTGCCCAGAGAGCCAAAGAGTTATTGGGTCTTCTCCTCCCGCAGGGACAGTGTGGGAGGATCACGAGCCCCCCTTTGCACCAGGCTGTGACTCGCAGCGCTCAACTGTGTGTGCCAAAGCTGATCCATGTGTTCGTTTCTTTGTGCAACCCTAGCCACAGTGTGGGGTTTGGGACTTCCCAAAGTTTGGGACTTTGGGAAGCTGATGGCTCACCCATGCCATGGCCAGTCTCGGCCAGCCCTCTGCACTGTGCTTCCTGCATTTAGGAGCTGCCTATGCTGATGGCATCAGGCTTTGTTCCTTCCCAGAGGGGCAAGCAGAGCTGCAGCACCTCAACAGACCCTCCTGGAGCCTGTGAGCTCGGCCGTGAGCTGGGGATGCATCGCCAATCCCCAAGCAGGCACCGCTGCCCTGCCTCGGTGGATTTGCCAGCGATTGTGCAGAGCCCCAGGTCATTGAACAGTCCCAGGGAATGAGAAAATTGGAAAAAGCTGTTGGGTTTCAGCTGAGTAGGCGGCTCCCAGCGCTTCGTGCCAACGAAGGCTTCGCCTTCCGGAGGCACAGCCTCCCCGTCGGCAGCTCCGCAGATGTGCTCGGGGGTCTGGGGCCGGCAGCTCCATGGGGGGAGGCTTTTTTGGTTTTGCAGAAAGGAAATGGTTTCCCCCTCATCCCACCCTGCTGTGCAGCCTAATGAGGTTCCAAGGTGGGACGTGCAGGGGATGGACGCGGGGTGGGCAACCTGGCCTTCATCCATGGGACTGAGCTGGGGAGATGCAGCCTCCACATTCCCCTGCCAGTTCCACGGCCAGAGCGCTGGAGTTGGGGTGTCCCTGTGGACAAAGCCCACCTGAAACCAGATCACCCTTTCCTCACCACTGGAAAGAGCCACCAGCCAAGCACGGGGACACCACCAACTCAGAGGGGTGGCCTGGACAGAGAAGACACAAACCAACAGGGGTTGGTTTGGGGACTGCAGCAACAGATCTGAGGACAAAGAGCAATTGCTGAGGTGCCTCCTCCAGGTAAACTTCCTCTGGTTGGTGACACTGAGGCTGAGAGTGCCACAGTTACGAAGTGCCCACCTGAGTTCCCACAGCTCCAGGAGCATTCTCTCCCATTCCCACTGGGCTCTCACTGCAGCTGAATGTGGCACCCAGTGGCTGTGACAGCAGGGCCATCAGCTAATGCCAGCATGGGGGGACTCACCCAGCACCCAGAGCTGGAGACCTGATGGGAGAACCATCTCCTCTGCCTGGGGGTGAACCAGCCCCCCCATCCTGCTCCAGCCCCGGCCTTCTCTGCTCTACAGTGCAGCCCCCAGCTGGGAACAGCTACGTTCTCCTCCTCAAGCTTGGCAGGCAGGGAGAGGGCACAGCCTGACTGATCCTGTCCACCTCCTCCAGGGAGCAGTGTCACCCTAAATACCCACCCTCTGCCCCCATCTGTATTTTCAGGGCTGGTGTCCCTCCCAGTTGTCATGCCAGCTCCCCACACTGCACAGAGACCTGCCAAACCAGGGGGAAGAGGGATCCACTGTGGATCAAGTCATCCACCCTGAGAAACACCACTTGGGGCAGGAGGAGGGGGCCAGGGGGGTCCCATTCCCATGGAAAGAACAGGGCTCTTTTTACAGTTATACAAGATGAAACCACAGGGATATAAATGTTGCTGCCTCTTTGAGAACATTAATGAAAATAAACCCATTTAATAGTTTGCAGATGCTGTTTCTGTAAACCTAAAAAAAGCAGGGAATAAATATTTCTTCACTAAATATCTATATGTATATATATATTTGAAAACATTTGCTCCTAATCTTAGGGCCCCTCCTTTGCTGTGCTTTTGGCAGCTTATCACAGTTTGTCAGTCAATGCTGAACTCACCAAGAAGAGATACAAATTGCACCCATGGAGGGGTAGCAGGACCGAGGGATTATTGTAATCTAAGCTCTCTCTCGCCCTTTCTATTTGTACATTTCAATTACTTGTAACGAGATCCATGGTGGATTTTTGTTTTGTTTTGTTTTTTTTTTCTTCTGCATGTCTGTGTTTTGGAAATTTTTGTAAGGTTTTTGTAAAAACAACTCTTGTGAAATAATGGAGGAATAAATATTTTACTGAGTAGAGACGTGTCAGTGCATGTGATAGGGACCTGAGTCTTCCATCAGCAGCCACTGTGGTTTCCCCACCTAACCTGGACAAGCAGCCTGGGCAGAAATTGAATTAAGAGGCAGCAAAGAGGGTCATATTCTGCACAGAAATTGAGCTGAAAGAAACCAACGGGTCAGAAATAAACCATCAGATTGTAGAGCACTTTCCAGGGAGCAAAGGCCCAGAGGGGCAGAGCAGGCACTGAACACCCAAAACAAGAGGAATCAGTGGTCAGGCAAAGGCAATACCAAATAGCTGAGGCAGCCAAAGTTAAGCTCACAGTGCTGAGCTATCAAGGAGCAGATTTAATGTAATGTGGAGAAGTGTGAAGATGTGCCCAGGGGAAACTGCCCAGAACATGCTCAGACTGAAAGGCAGCGAGTCAAGAGGCAGGAATTTCTAGGAAAGGATCAGAGAGCAAGGCAGAAAGTGTCCCCACTGCACAAATAAAGCCTGAAATCCACTGTCCCGAGATATTGTGGAGATCAATGCTATGGTGTGTTCAGAGAGGGTGAGAAAGGTAATGGTGGGTGGGTGTGTGTTGGTGTAACGTGCAGGGATTCAACACCCGGTGCAGAAAACTGCTGCCCTGCCACTTCCAGGAGAGCTGGGAGAAGAAGGGACCCCTGGATTTCCTTTGTTTCTTTTACTTGCCTTCACCTGCTGAACTGCAGCAGCCTCCTGTGAGGCCAGCTCACACGGTGTCCCTTACAGGATGTCTCTGTCACCTCCTCCTCCTCCCCAGGCCATCCTCAAACCCCCACACAGCCAGGGGCCCCACAATGCTCTCCCATGCACCCAGAGGGGCTCAGCTCCATGAGAGCCACAGGAGCAGCTCCCTCCCATCACCAGTGGCTGCTGGGACACGTGGATCCAAGGCTGAGGAAGGAAGGAACCCTAAACAATGTATTCCAGCTTTCCCCAGAGGGGAACAAGGCTCATCCCTGCAGCACCCAGCAGCAGCAAGTCCCCATATTGGATATCACCCCAGGCCCACCGTGGTCCCACACATTTGACCATCCCTGCCAAACTGCTCTGCTGCTGCTTCGTAACCACTTATTTATTCATTCAGTAAGTGGCTTGTAGATCATTAAGGCCAAGTGTCCAACCTCCTGCATACAGAATATCACCCAAGCATCGTCCTCATGTCCTCAGCACGTGGCCAGTGCAGAGCATCCCCTTGGAAAGCATTCAGCCCTGAGTCAAGAGACCCTTGGAAGTGATGAACTTACAGATCCCAGGGCAGATTCCTCCAGTGACTCATCACTGTTGACTGCTGGAAATATGTCACTTATTTCCTGCCTGAACTGTCCCAAGTTCAGTTCATCTTCCACTAGAGCAGAAGGTCTCAACCCATGGTCAGCCAGCTCCCAGGAGCTGATGGACATCTGAGGGGTCTCAAACCAGGAGACAGACAAGCCTGGAGAGCTGCAGCTCACCTGGCAGGGTCTGCACTCCACGGGGGAGGGAGATACTGGGGGAAGGCTGTCAGTGCAGGGGAGCTCAAAGGCACAGTGCAACCTCTCCTCTTCCAGCACAGGGGCATTTTTCCTGCCAGGAAGGGCACATCCATCACCAGTAGTAATTTTGGCAGGAGAGCTGGTCTTCACCCATGCACTACAACTTTGGGAGTGGGGGAAGACAAGACATTGGCAAACTGTTTCCTTCCTCAAAGCAGTGGATTTTCAACCAGGTGATTCCAGAAGAGCAGGTATCAGGTGATGGGAGGATCTTTCTGGACACCCTTTCCTTGTTTCTGACCCCGCAGCCTGACACTCGTGCATGACTTGCTGACTGATGAAAAGTTGAAGTTTGCCCCTAGAATATTTTAACAAGAACAATTTTCTGTTGTCATCAGCATCAGCTGCTAGAGCAGCAAGACAAAACAGAGCTCACATTTTCCAGCTCACAGGAACACCCGCCCGGTTATTCCCGACCAGAATGAATTACAGAATCCTCCTTTCCCATTATCCTTGTGCTGCCGGGCCCTTCTCCCTCTGGTGGCAACGGGAAGGTCTGAAGACCTCGAGTCCTGCTGGCACCATCCACAAACTGCAGGACACATGTTCCTATGACAGCAACGGGTCACCTCCCAGCAGCAGAGCTCCTCCAGCCCTTTGGAGCAGTGTTCCTGTGCTGGGGGTTGTGATGCTCACCCCAAACTCTACATTCCATACGGAAGGAGCATCTCCTCCCTGCAGCAGATATTTTGCTCGCTGCTGCTTCTTTCCAACCCCACAGGGAAGCAGCCTAAGGCAGCAGGGAAGCTGGATGGCAGCTATGCACAGGGATGTAATGCTTTATAATCACTTGGGAAGAAGGCAGGAAGCAAAGGTTCCTTTTGTAGCTGGTGTCACAAAGCCCAGGAAGAGTTATCACGTGTAAGGAAGAACTATTGCATGGAGATGCACAGCGTTGCATCCATACACCCCAACTTCAGAAGCACGGCAAAACTGCAGGGATATTTACAAACTTCCCTTCCTCAAACGACTGTGTTGGCAGCCAGGTGACCCCCAAAGAGCAAGTCTGAGGTGATGGGAGGATCTCCCTGGAACACGCATCGCACCTTGCCCGCTTTGGAGAGGCTGAAGGGCACTGGAGCAGGTATCAGCCTCTTCCCCATCAATCCGCTCCCCAAGGAGTGGCACCCTCCCTGCATCCCAAACCCCGGTGCGGGTCCCCGTGTCCCCGCAGGTCCCGCAGCCACACGAGGGTGCTGCAGCCCCGCGCAGCGCACCGAGCCCCCGGCACTGCCCCGCTCCTCGTCCCAAACAGGGGATGGCTGACAGCTCAGCCACAGCCGGGTTAGAAAAGCCCCACTGGAAAGTTTTCCCGGTGCCGACTCCATCCTCGTGTGGCAGGGAGCGGCAGCAAGCCCCGTTATCCCCCCGGTGCCCGCACCCCTAGGGCTGGCTCCTCTCATGGCTCCCTACGAGCCACAGGAATCTCAGTCCCTCCAGAGGAATAAGGGGATTTGTGCATCAAAATCCCATCTGCGAGAGGGAATGTGTGGGAATCCAGGGCTTCCCTCTGGCTGCCCTGGCAGGTCTGGGACCCTGGCAGGGGTCAGGAACCCCCCTGGACAGAGCCCCCAGAGACACTGGCTGTGATCTCTGGCCATGGAAAAGAGTTTTCAATCTTACAGCATGAATTACAAGCTCTGAGTGTTTGATATAAGTAATAATTAAGTGTGACACGGGTGCAAGAGTAAAATTTTAGGTTTCTAGATTAGGGGTTCAGAGGGGACAAGATGGAGGAAATTGGGTGTGTCTTGTCCTTTTCCTCCTTCTTCATGCCCTCCATGTTTCACTGCAGTGTTGGCATTTTTCTGTTGGTTTAGGCTGGGGACACACTGTTCAACGTAGGTGACAGATATTGGCACGTTATTGTAAATCCAGCACAGGTAGTTTGTGGTATTTAATGTTTGTAACATCCCACTGAGGGCAGAGCCCCACACGCTGCCCTGCAGGACAGAGCTGCGGCAGGGCAGCAGAACATGTTAGAGATAAACAGAATAAACAACCTTGAAACAGCACAGACCAATTATGGCTTCTGCTTTGGCAACGGGGCAGAAAGACAGAGACTTTCTACAATCTCGGAATCACCAATACCCACAGATTCCGACAGGAATGGAGATTTTGGGAGGGTGGAAAAGGAAGAGTGGTCTGTGCTAAGGGTAAGCTGCCCAAGAGGGAATCTCGGTCCGCATCCCAGCAGGGCACGGTCTGGATGAGCAGAGACCCGGGGAGAGCCGTGTCCTGTGCTCAGGGCTGGGACGGCTCCTGGGCTTGAGCCGCCTGAAGGAGTGTGGGGGGGAAAGCGGCTGGTGCCGGGTCTCCACTCGCTTTTCTCCCAGCTGCAGACACCGTGAGGGAACACACGTACTGGTGGTGTGAATCACGTTCACACATTTAACCACAAAAGGGAGCGGAATGGACCTTAAGGATCATCTTCTCCCAACCCACCCCTCCCATAGGCAGGGACAGCTTAAATTAGACCAAAGCTGCCCAAACAAGCTGGCTTTGAACTCTGCCAGCGCTGGGGCATCCACTGCCTCTGTGGGCAGCAGTGTACCAGTGTCCCACCACCCTCACAGTAAAAAAATTCTTACTAATGTCTGAAATTTCTCCTCTTTCAATTTGTACCCATTTAAGCACCAAATTGTTGTTCTGCAGTCCCAGGTGAGTTTCACAGCGTTGCTGTTTCCTGCTTGGGCCAGGTGTGAAAAACAAGTTGTTGGACATACAAAGCACACACCAAACCCCAGAGACTGGTGGGTGCAACCACTGTCCTTGCTCTCCTGCAGCAGCAGGAGACACTGGGCACATCCTTTGCCTACATTGATGCCAGAGCAGGAATTTGGGAGCTCTGAGTTTAGATATTAATTGGGAAAAGGCAGGAATGCCCCCCACATGCAGCAACCACTGGCAGTGTCCAGGTGAGAGCCGGTGGCTCTGAGCACTGGTCCCAGGAGAGCCCTGATGGGACTGGTGTTCTGGTGTTGCCCAAGCAACCAAGCCCAGCTTGGTTTTGCTTCCCCCAAACTTCCACAACACTTCAAAATAAGCGCAATGCTTGGGCCTCTCTTAAGTTTGCCTCGTTGGCTTTTTGTGTTTGTTTTTTTTTGAGCCAGGAGAGTTCACATTCCCAAGCTTTTCCCTGCAGCCAGTAAGCAGAGTTTATTTTTTTTTTAATAAAAAAGGAGAGAGCAGGGCTTTGCATGTAACCTCAGCTTCCCTGAGCAGGGCATCAGCCTCAGGCACTGGACAGGCAGCTGAGAAGAGGCTGGAGCAGCTGGCAGATCTGGGGGTTGGAAGGGGGTTCTGGAGCCTCCCTTCTTCCTTCCTATGCCAAAATCTCCATCCCAGCCACATCTCCAACCACAGCAACACGTACTGGAGAGAGTCCATTTTATAAAACCGCTGCCTTTCTCATTTGAAAATAAACAGGGTAAGAAAACAACCAAGTGGAGCCATTTTACGAAACTAACACAAACACTGACAGGACAGCACCTCCCAGCCACCAACAACCTAAGAAAATAGGGGAAAACCAGAGCAATGAAGCATTTGTTTCTCAGCAACCTAGTGCAAAAAAAAAGTGGGCTGCTTATCTTGGAAAACACAAGCAGCTCCTTTATGAGTACTAAGAACAGAAAGAAGAGCAACCACCTCTTACCTGAACTTCTCCAGCCCTCCAGGATTTTTGGGTAAACACCAAGATTTGTAACAACTTGCTGCTCAGGGAAGGAAAAGTGAGCAGAGCTGCTTATAATTCCCAGCTCTGCTGGATTTAAAGGATCAGCACAAATAATGCACACCTGGAAAAGGTGTTCCTCTGCAAGGCAGGTGAGTGCAGAGGAAAGGGATGTCTTTTTAGAAGTCCCAGGACACTGCAGGCTCTACAGAGAGGTTTAACATCCCACTGAGGATCCATCCTGCTGGGCTGGACCCAGCTGCTGCCCAGCTGCATCTGCTGCTGCTGAAGGAAGGATGTATCAGAGCACAATGATTTGTTTTTATTAGGAATATTTGCTTCCTGCCACCAGAATGCATGTGCAGCAGCAGAGAAACATACAGGACTTCAAGACCTTGTGCACCATGTGAGGCAGAAAAGACTTGTTAAGAGGGGTCTGTGTTACCCAGACATCTGTGGGAAGGAGAAGTGGCCAAAAGTGAATTGCTGAACCTGCAATCCTGCCCATCTTCCTCTCAGTGGGAGAGCAAAGAATTCCACTCCAAACTTCAACACACAGCTGAGCCTGATATCAGAACTGAGCTGGGGTTGAGTTACTGGTACAGAAACTTCTACCTGAGCTGAGCAAAGGCTGAACATCAGTCTGAGCAAAGGCTGAACATCAATCTGAGCAAATGCTGAACATCAGTCTGAGCAGGTGTGTCCCAGTGCTCAGTGAGGGCTCAGCAAGAGCATCTCTGAGGAGAGCAGGGTCAAGGGAACAGCCTTAGTGCACAGGACAGGTGGAAAGGGAATTTATTTTCTACTCATTTTGGCTTGCCCCTGTGATATTATTGAAATTCTGTGCTGCCCTCAGAGGAGGGAGGAGGCCCTGAAGAGCAGAGGTTTCCTCCTGCCTTCTCCTCCAGAGGGGTGCTCCACTGCTGCTGGGAGCAGCCCCTGGCACCTGGGGACAGCTGTGTGGCAGATGAGCTCATGGCCTTTGTCACCATGCAGTACCCTGGTCCCCTCCTCTCCAACACGACACCTTTGGGTGACATTCCCTTCAAAGCCCCTCTGCTCATTTCCAGAGCTTTCTGTAAAGACCAGCTGGTGCAGCCTGTGAATGCCATGGCAGCAATGGACAGCAGGAAACAGCTGAAAGAAAACACCCCTAGGGTGATCACAGCACATTTCCTAAATAGCAAGGCAAGAGAAAGGCCACAAACAGAGGGGGAGAAACTCAATCTGATGCCCTGGGGGCATTTTCAGGTATTAATGGCATGTGGACTAGACTGCCCTTTGGGAGAAAACTCTGACTGCAAACCCCCTGTTTTGTGCTGGCATTTCAGACATTCCAGAAGTCCCAGAATTCGTGTCCAGCAAATGTGTTCAGGCCCCGTGTCCAGGGTAAAGGATTCCTGCTTGTTTCTCCAGGCATGTCACTCTGCATCTTGCTGTGGGGAGGCCGAGATGGAAAAGCCACAGCTGCTGCTGGCTGGGAGTTGCCAGGAGCTCCAGGGCTGCCTGCAGTGAGCTCCTGGCAGGGAGCTGTGTGCTGTGGCATGGACAAGGTGGCACTGGGACCACTGAAAGCTTCAATGGCTTTGCAACATCCCCCTGAGATTTTGAGTTCCTTGTTACGCTGCCTGGAAGGCACCTACCTCCTGTCCTCCTTGGTGGAGAGGGAACCTAAGGGACTAAATGCTAAGGAACTCACATTCCCAGAGATGCACATGGCTGGGCAGGAGAAGGGTGGCTGCTTTATGACCTCTGCTACCAACCACATCTGCTGACTAAGAGACTTTGTGGGACCCTCATGATTTTCCCTGCCTGATTCATGGGATATTCATGACCGGGAGGAAAAGGTCACAGTCACAGTTCCAAACACAGAAAACCTTCCCCTCAATAACCCCTTCCTCAAGGGGTAGTAATCCATGTGCTTTCCACCTGTCATCCTCAGCAGGAGAGAGGGAAACCTGCTTTCACATCCCCTTCCTGCATGTCCCTTCTCTCTGGTGACTTCTCTGACAAATTCCGATGGCAGTGGAATCTCATCAAGGCTGCACTGAACATCCTCAGGGCGCAGGTGACCTCCCTGGTGACATCTCACACACACACACACACACTCACACACTCTCCCCACTCGCAGGGGCCCAGCAGAGTCAGGATCAGGGGGTTTGGGTGGTCAGTCTCTCTGGCTGTTACCAGTACGGGGTGGTGGCCAGCAGGATCTGCAGGGCCATGGAGAAGCAGGGCAGCTGGGCCACGCTGTAGGCCACGGAGCGTGTGGGGGCCCTCAGCTGCAGGAGGTAGGCAATGGTGTGGATGATCCGTCCCACGCAGAAGATGAGGAAGTGGATCCTGGCCACTGTGGGGCTGGGATCCAGCAGGGAATAGATGGCTCCGAGGAAGAGGAAGGGAAAGATGTTCTCCATGTCATTGCGGTGGGCCCTGAAAAGCAAGATAAGGTTGTTCCTTGCCACTAGAATTCCCTGTTTTCTCTCATTCCTTCTAGCAGAGTACCCATCCCTAGGTGTTGCTGGACCTCTTCCCCCTGAATGGGGCAGACACAGCACCCAAAACTGTCAGTTCTCCCTTACACATAGAGGCAGGAGAATGTCACACCCTGTGTCTCTCCCTTGGGACTCTGAGCTCTTGAAACTTTCTCTCCGTGGCTGGAGCACCTTTGCCACAGCAGATGACAGCTCAAGGGTTGGAGCTTTCAAATAAACAGAGCAGAACACTGACCCTGTGAAGCTGCAAAAAGCTCAAAACTGGTGTGGTGCCAGCACAGTGTGGCCCCAGATGTGGCCATGCTACACAACAAAAAGCAGTTCCAGAGCACGGCTTCTCCAGTGGAGAAACTCACAGGATGAGAGGGGGTTGTGGTTGCACCTCTCTCCATAAATGCATCCAAAGGGACTGGGGAGGAGTGACCCAGCGACACCCACGCTGTGGCTGGAGGGGACGCTGTGGCCATGTGGTGACACATCTGATGGAGCCAAACCCTGTGCTCCAGGGGAACATGCACCTGCCTGGCTGTCACAGCATCACTGCCACCACCCACAGCGCTGATGAAACAGGATCGGGTCAGGCCATGAGTGTGGGTTGTGCCCCTCCTCCCCCAGCACCGTCCTCTGAACAAACCCCAAGCACCTGGGGGCTCAGCAGGGCTGGAAGGACAAATGGAAGAAGAGGGAGGAGAAAGGAGAGAGCTGTAAGGTAGCCAAGGGCCTCTTTCAGAGGCAGGGGTTAATGCCCTGCCCTGTTTTCTCCCTGCCCTGCTCAGACCCTGGCTCTGCTCCCCTCCAGATAGAGTCTGAGATTAAAAGCTGACATCGCCCTTGCTCTGGGGAAACACTTTGGGTTGAATGTGTCTTCCCCAGGGCTGCAAATACATCAGCAAGGACGGACTCTGAGAGCTTCAGCTGCCCAAGTCAGATCCCAGGCTGCCCCAGGTTTTTGCTGCAGCTCCAGTTATTTTCGTTTTATGGAAGTTTGTTTATCCTGAATAATCAAAAGAAGATTGTGATTATTATTTCTGCTATTATTTTATTTTTGCTAGGAAGGAAGCGGCTCATTTTCCATCCTCCTCCTCCCCTTGGCAGCCCGGCAATTAGGTGGCACTGGATGTGTTCAAAAGCAAATGCTGGAGGCAGTGGGACACGAGCAGCGAGGTCCCCATGCACAGCCCAGGGCTCAAGGATAGCAGGGACTCTGGTCCCTTTCCTGCACATTATCAGCAATCCAGCCCAGCACTTGGGGCACCTCCGTTGGTAAGTGGGACAGCAAATCAAGCCCAGGGGTGAATAACCCCATGTTTTACCTCTGAAAAACTGTGATTCTCACAGAAGAGGGGCAACAGTCAGAGTTTGCCCAATCAGAGAGGCAAAAGTTACTGTAATCCTGTTCAGCCTTTTCCCAAACCCCCAAAAAGGGCATCTGCCTACAGCACTGGGACCAGTCACTCTGTTGCCTGTCTGAGCTGTGCAGGGATCTGGGGTCCTGTCGGAGCAGGACACAAAGAGCCTTTGAGTGTGGGTATGGGATGAGACAGTGGGATTCTATGGGATTTTGAGCACCTAGAAAAGAGCTACTCAGAGTTGCATGTTGATGCAAACCCGGATCCTTCTCTTGCCCTTGCTCCAGTGCACACCATGCTCCTGGTAAAGATTAAACTGCTCTCGTGCTCAGGGTCCCACAGCAGAGCTCAAGGCAGTCTGGCTGTAGAATATTAGTAGAATATTACTTGATTAGTGAGCCCTTTAGCTTCCCACTTCTTGTTTGCCAGCAGCTGGTGCAGAGAGAATGGTGGCACCAGAGGGAATGGTGGCCCCAGAGGGAATGCTGGCACCAGAGGGAATGCTGGCCCAGAGGGAATGCCAGCACCAGAGGGAATGGTGGCCCCAGAGGGAATGGTGCACCAGAGGGAATGGTGGCACCAGAGGGAATGGTGGCCCCAGAGGGAATGCTGGCCCCAGAGGGAATGGTGGCCCCAGAGGGAATGCTGGCACCAGAGGGAATGGTGGCACCAGAGGGAATAGTGGCACCAGAGGGAATGCTGGCAGCGCTCACCTGCGGCACCGCTCCACGTCAGGGTCCTCGCGGTAGAACTGCAACCCCCCATTGCGCAGGGCGTCCTCTGGGTTTGCAAATGCCTGTAAGAGACAGTCCCCACCTGCTTACAGTCTTCAGGAACCTCACAGGTAGAAGCTTTGCCCCTAACCTTGAAATCCTGTAAGGATTTTATCTGCCCAAATTTGTTACCACCCTTCATAAAAATGGGGGTCACTTCCATGCTCACTGTCCTGCACCTCCCCAGGAGTTTTCCTTGTCCTCCAGAAAACCCAGTGCTACCTGCTGAGCAGGTCCTAAATGAGGGTTTCAAGGGAGCTCCCACGTCACCCCTGGCCACTTCTTCCCATTAAACCCATTTAGAGGAGACTTTGCCAGCCAGCAAGATCACTGCTGGCAGAGAGCTTGCAGACACAGTGCGGCCTCCAAATGATAACCAGGACTTCCAGAGTAGAGAATATTCCTTGGCTGGCTTTTTGGCAGTGGCACTGTGTGGCTTTCCCTTGGGGAAATGGGATCCTACACTAATAACGTTAAAAATTAAAATAATTTGTGCGAGCTCCTCGCCTATGCTCAAAAGCTGTTCCTCAAGGACCTGGCTACATCTGACAGCTTCTTTTTGCAGCCTGGAAAGGGTCCCGGTGCTTTCTTTAATTATGTTACAAGCCCAAACTGTCCCAGGGCTGGAGCATCATTTAGAATCACAAGGGGAGAAGACAATTCATCAGTTACAATGATGCCACAGCACACGGTATTTGTATTCTATCTGAGACCAGAAATGTCTCCCTCCCTCTCCACTGACACAGTCAGAAACTCCTCAAATACTTTAAAGCAGATTTTACAGAAAGCTGGGTTTTATCAGGAGTTGGGGTGAGAATAGTAAAAGTCCAGCTGGCCCCAACTCCTAACAGCAGCTGGTCCTCACTGTATTTTCCTCCCTGACCAAGAATAATTTCCTCCAGCTATTGTTTTATTGCCCACGACTTGCTACTCTCCTGGAGCATTCCCATAGCCAGTCAGCCTCCAAAAGCTCAAAAGCTTTCTGCAACGCAGCAAGAAAAAAGACCATTGCAATGGTTTCTTCTTAAACTTTTTTTTTCCTTCTCCTTTTTTTTCCAGATCCTCCAAATTACTGTAAACAAACTCTTTCTAGAAGCATCTCACCTGCTTGGCATTTTAGATCTGATTATTATTTAGATTAGGTTTCCAAAATTATAAACATCAAGTTACAGATGGTAGAAACAAACAAAAAGGGTCAAAGAGAAGTGAGATATTTATCTGCTGCAGCTATGAAACAAGCTTTGCTTTCAACTGAAGTCAAAGAAAACTCAGCTTGCTTCAGGAAAATTTTGTTGAACTTTAGAGGAATAAAGGAAGAAAGCAAAATCACAGACACCCAAGCAAAGAGCCAGAAAGGGAGGAGAAGAAAAACGAAACTGGATCTTACCTTCTTTCTGAGTCTTACTTGCCCCGTAATGATGGCAACGGCATACATTTTCAAAATCAGAATTGTGCTGTAGAACGTGAATGACAGGAACACTTTATTTTCCATCATTTTGGGAAAACGTGTTGCTTGGTTTGCTTCAGCACCCAAAACCAGGGGAGATCCTGGGCTGCGAGAGAGCCCCGAAGGACAGAGGCAGGAGCAGCTGCGTTGAAACACAACACAAATCCTCTCATTTCTCAGTGAAATCCCCCAGCCCCTGTACCCCGCCGGGCTGCCGGGACAGTGCAAACCCCAGCAGCACATGGACCTGGCTTCCCCTGCTCCTCACACCGTGCCACAGCAGCTCCTGCGGACCGGGCAGTGCCCTGCAGGTGGGAGCTGGTCACAGCGGGACCCCCGAGCCCAGCCCGGCACGATGCCCGCACCGCAGAGCATCCCTGCCCAGCCGGGCACTGCTCACCCGCGGGGCGAAGCGCTCCAGCCGCCCCAGGAGGAGTTGGGGAGAAGGTAAATGCCTGTCTCAGCCGCCTCCAGCCCGGCTCTGGAGCCCACTCCTCCGTGGCCGCCCTTCCCGTCCCGCCCAGCGCTGGCTGAGCGCTCACTCCCACGGGAGAAGCAGCCAAGCCTCTCCTACAGATTCCACCTGCGAGGGATGGACAGGCGACACAGCTGTCCCTTAGCCCGGCAGCGCTGCCAGCCGCCAGCCTGGGCTGTCCCCGCACCCCCGGAATGACCACCAGCCCGGAGCCCAGCCAAGCCTGCCCAACCCAAAGGCAGCTCCTTCTGGGAGGATGAACCGCGGCAGCCACATGGAATGTTGTCCTTGGTTTAGAAAGTGCCATGTGAATTTGGAGCTGGCTTTTCCTCAGCCATCAAACATAAAGAGTGGGATCAGAGCCTTTGCAGGCAGCTGGGTTGCTGTTTAATGCAAACTTAACTCCTTCTCCCCCAGTGCTAGCAGCAGCGAATTTCACAGAGCCAGAGGCGTGGGGGCTGACAGGAGCTCTCCAAGTTTATGAGAGTGGAAGGGCTGGATTTGGTATTCATTTCCTTAACACAGGAGAAAAACAAAACAAAACAAACAAAACAAACCAAAAAACTTATTTCAGGAAAGTAGATGATTCTTTGCATTTGCCTCTGAATCTTCCTCATGGCCATTCTGCCTTGGTGCTGCAAACCCAAAGACACTCCACTGCTCCATGCAATGCTCTGGCTCAGCCTCATGACATCTGAGGCAGAAGCACAAAGGTGGGCTACACATGACATGTGTAGGTGAAAGCACAAAGCAGTGAAGAAAACTCAGAGCTAGAAGTGCAATGGGACCTGCAGCGCAAGCAGAGAAACTGGATGTGGCTCCTGTGATTTCTGTTGCCATGGCATGGGGGTGAATGTGGAGTGGAGGCCATGTGGTCTAGTTTTTCTACCCAATACCCAGAAAAGTTTTGACAAACCAAAACCTCCTACCAATAAATATTCTGTACAACATGCCCACAAATAACAGAAGACTTGATCACTATTGGCAGCACTTTGCACTACAGTGGTTAATAAGATGTAAAAGCTGGCTAGTTTAATATCTAGCTCGCAGACAAGAATTTTACTTGAAATTCCAGGAACAGTTTGACAGATTTGTACTTCTCTTCCACCCCACAGGGGTCATCTTTTGGTAAGTCTTGTGTCCCCAGATATGCTGAGTGTTAACCTGGGAAATTAAGATTGTGATTGCCATTGTGTTGTTAGTGCTCTATAAAGCCACTTTGCAGTTCAGGCAGTTCTCATGAGCAATCCAAAAGAACCATATATGTGACATGCAATAAATTGTGCTATTCCTGAACCCAGCTGGCTCTTTTGAATGTGACCAGACCTATAATTCACAGACTATTGGTGCACCTGGCATGGGGCCTTATGGTTATGTTTTTGCAGCAGTGCAGAGAGCCTTTGAAAACACCAAGCACTTGGTTTTAAGGGGAAGCTACTTGCAGTTGGTCACCACCACCCTGGCATTGGAGGCTGCTGCAGAGCAAGTCCTGGCACAGCCCAGTGTGGAGCTCTGCAGCCTCTGGCAGGCTGCTTCCCTGGGGGTGGGAGTGGGAACACCAGGACATGCAGCAGCCATGTGGATTCAGACTCTGTGCTAAGAGCTGGGCTGTTCAGCAGTGAACTACATCCAAACCCATCCACGCTTCCCCGGAGGAAGGGTATTATAAACACCATAATGCCCAGTGTAAGTAGACAGTGGCAAAGCCACATCCCAAACACTGCTCCCTCCCATCCCTCTTCTCCACAGCTAATAGGGATCAACCCACAGCGGAGAAGACCTCGTGCCCAAGGACTGGGGTTATGCAGGGCCAGCCCAGCCCCACAGCATGGATGAGACATTCTCCAGCAGCCCCTTTTCCCAGAAGCCTGGGAGAGGGCAGGCAGCCAGACCCTCCACCAACACATCACACCCTCCATCCAGCAGCTCCAGTTTTTACCAGCTGGTGATCCAGTCCACGGGGTCTCCGCCAGTGGGACCTTTTTCCTTCATGCACCTTCTTCCCCTCCCAAGGCAGCCAACACCTCGCTGAGCAGCAGGAATATGCACCTGCAGACAAGTCAGGACTCCTCCCACCAACCAGCCAGACTTCTTCTCCTTGGTATCATTCAAACACTGGCAAGGAGCCCTGGACAATTTGCACCAGCAACTGGCACAAATTTACATTGAACTGAGGGATCAGGAAGCACACCTTGTTTATGGAGAAGCCCTCAGGGCAAACTGTTGTGGATGTGTTAATTTTTAAAAAGTTGTTTTTTTTTGTTTTTTTTTTTTTTCTGTGTGTTTATGCATTTCAAACCCCTTTCAGTGTTACACAAAGTGGAACACCAGAGCAGGGGGTTATGGATGGGGATGAGGAGCAGAAGATGACTGCAAAGGTAGGTGTAATGCTCCTGGGATCCCAGCTCCTTTTGAGTTTACCAGGTTCAGGGCTCTCACACTGGGTAGAACATATCCACACTTGCACCTTCCTGGCTTTTGAGACCCAAGGCAACGCAGCTGCCATTCAACTATCCCATTAATCCATGCGGAAGCAGGCTGTTAATACTGATGGTTGGTTCCTCCTCCACAGCTCACATCCTGCCAGGACAGAGCCCCTGCCTGAAGAAGGCCAGGTCCTAGCAACAGTATGTCTTTAAAATACAAGTCACGCCTTAAAACCTTGAGCATGAGAGGTCTCAACCCAGGACAAGATCTACCTGAACCAAACACTGCTAGCCAAAAGCACTGCTTTTATTTATTCTATTTTCTGAGAAAATATTAAATTATTTGTGAGGCTTTGAAAGATTAGGTTCTCAGGTTAGACTGACCCCAGGAGTTGCAGGAAAAAAAATGCGGCATTTTGCTGGAGGAGGAACTGAACTGTAGGAAACAGAAGGAATTAAATATTCATGGGAAATGCTTGAGAAAAGTACTTAAAAGTAGAAGCCTGTAAAAGTGGTTCTGCTTTTGCAAGATTATGGAATAAAAACCACTCTCGCATAGGTTATTTATTTGACCAACTGAATTATACTACAGTATTGTGACTATATTTTTCCACTCTTGCTGCTCTGGGAAATTTCCCGGTGGCAGCGAAAGGGATTGGTTCAGTGGAGCACTGGCAGGTCTGCTGGGGTGGCACAGCCTGGGCTCTACCCTGATCCCAGAGGGAAGCTGACACTTTGAGCAATTGCAGCTCAGATCCCCCAAAATTTTCCCTAATGAGCCCAGTTACATCCTACAGCCGGGGCTAAGCAAAGAGCCCAAGGGGACTGCTCCAGGCTGGAGAAGATGGGCAGGTGGGTGGCACTTCTCCAGCACGCTTCCACATGCTGGTGGGGAAGGTGCAGAGCCCAGCTGGGAGTTTGCTTGCCCAGGGCACACAGCTCAGCCCGGAGCCGAGCTACATTCCCAGCCTGCTCCAATGCTACCCTGGACACCGGTGCCCTCCTGCCCTGCCATTTCTTCCTGCTGCTCCCAGCACAAAGCCTTGGAGCCTGCACACTCCAGTGATCACCTGCACCCATCCTGGGAAACCCAGCTGCCAAGGGAGGCTGTGCTGTGCTGGCTCATCAAACACGAGGACTTTTCAAGTAAAGGCATGAGTGTTTTAGCTGTTTATTAGCGAGAAGGGTGCTCCACCTGTGTTCCCTCAGTCTGCACGAAAGCTCCCACCACCATGACGCACCTTCCGTGGATCTGTGAAATCCTCTTGCTTCACCTGCTGCTCCCTATCCCCAGACTCCTGGGCTCCTCGTGCTTGTTTCAGCAAGCAGGACACAGAAGATACTGCAAAGTCAGAAAGCAGTGGAACCACCAGCATCTCTGGCCCCCAGCATGAGCATCTGTTGTGGTTTGACACTGGCCAAGTGCCAGGCACCCATGAAAGTCGCTCGCTCACCCTCCACTGCCACAGCTGGGCAGAGGAGAGAGAAAATTAATAAGGGTTCATGAGTTGAAATAAAGACTGGAAGAAAAACTCCAAGGGCAAAATAGGCTCGGCTTAGAGGTACAAAGTGAGTTTATTCCTAACAAAATCAGAAGAGGATAATAAGAAGTGAAATAAGCCCTTAAAAACACCTTTTCTTCCCCTAACCTCTCCCTTCTTCCCACTGACAGTGCAGGGAGACAGGGCATGGGAGTTTTGGTCATTTCCTCACTCAGATTGTCTTCCGCTGTTCAGGGAGAGAAGTTGTTTCTCTGTGAGACAGTGGGGTCCCTCCTACGGGAGAGAGTTCTCTGTGAACTTCTCTGGTGTGGGTCCAATCTCATGAGCAGCAGTCCCCCCTGAACTACTGCAATGTGAGTCCCTCCCAGGGGCACACAGTCCTCCCAAAACTGCTGTGGCGTGGATCAATCTTTCCATGGGGTGCAGTCCTCCAAGGGCAGGCTGCTCCAGCCTGGAAGCAGGGCCCTCTCTGTGCCCTGGGTGTCCCACTGGATCACAGCCTCCCCCAGGCATCACCTGCTCCAGTGTGGGCACCTCCCCATGGGCTGTGGCTGGATCTCTGCATCCCCCGTGGATCCCCATGGGCTGTGGCTGGATCTCTGCATCCCCCATGGATCCCCACAGGCTGTGGCTGGATCTCTGCATCCCCCGTGGATCCCCAGGGGCTGTGGCTGGATCTCTGCATCCCCTGTGGATCCCCACAGGCTGTGGGTGGATCTCTGCATCCCCCGTGGATCCCCACAGGCTGTGGGTGGATCTCTGCATCCCCCGTGGATCCCCACAGGCTGTGGGTGGATCTCTGTCTCTGCATGCCCCATGGATCCCCACGGGCTGTGGGTGGATCTCTGCATCCCCCGTGGATCCCCACGGGCTGCAGGGTCACAGCTGCTTCACCATGGTCTCACCATGGCTGCAGAGGAATCTCAGCCCCGGTGCCTGGAGCACCTCCTTCCCCTCCTGCTCCACTGACCTTGGTGTCTCCATGTTGTTTCCCTCATATGTTCTCACCTCCTCCTCTTCTCTGGCTAGAAAAAACTGTGTTCCTCACTTTGCTTTGATTTTCTTCTTAAATATGTAATCACAGAGGCGTTACCATTATCTCTACTTGGCTCAGCCTTGGCCAGCAGCATGTCCATCTTCAGAGCCATTAGGGATTGGGTCAGAGCCATCAGGTGAAGATTCTAGCACCTTCTCACAGAAGCCACTTCTGTGACCTCCCTGGCTACCAAAAACTAGGCAGAGGAAAACCAACATCTCAGGAAACAACTGGCATGCTTCAGCCTTTAGCAAACTCAGGCAGATTTTGTCTGGTTTGCATTTTAAAGTGACAGTACTGGCTGCAGCTATCTGAGAGGCCTCAGGCATGAGGAATGTATGATCAGACTCTCCCAAATTGTCCTTCACACTCAGAAGAGCAGATGCCTGCAGCAGGAGAAAGTCATCAGGAGAGGCCCAGGGAAGGGGCAGGCGTGTGGTGGCTCTGAGTCTCAGGCAGAGCAGAGGAAGCTGCTGTTCCCCAGCCAGTCCCAGGGAACAGGCCCAGGGCCAAGCCAGGAGCAATGGCATGTCCTCCTGCCTTTTTCCTCCAGCTCCATCCACCATCCTTTCCT